AACGAAAAATAAAGATTTAAATGTTATTAGTTAACTTTATGATGCGTCATGAATATTGCAGAGCAAATGAATTTATTTTCAAGTCGCGAAATCTTCATAAGCACTCAATTGCATGAATATTTCGCAAGTAATTTCATATATGAATGAAAAATGGAAAAAATCAGAGTCGCTACTTCACGGTAATTCAAATATTGCCGGGATCTTTGGAAGCTCTATTTATAAATTATATGATTGTAGTCACGTTTAGTTTCCTGCGTCACTGCAGCTACATCTTTTAAAATTAGTGCTACTAATCAGTGCTGATAGTGCTGATCATTTGGAGATAGTGTAAGTTTCTGCAAAGTTTATGTAATTGAAAACATCTTTGATAGCAACTAAATTTACGTATAATTTTGATTGTGATCTCAAAATTGATGTTCAATTAACGGCACCTGGAATATGGTGCAGGACACTTGAGGAGACTTGATCCTCTCTGTTTTACTCGTATGCTTTGGCCAATTAAAAATTTGTATTCGTCAGTCTAACTGTCATAGTTGGCCAAACTTCCGCTGCTCGTTGGCCACCGATACCACGCCTATGATATTTGATCAGGTGAGAAGTGCGGTATCTTCGTTGGCTATCGCAAGCGATGGCCAGACGATCGCTCGGAAGAATTTTTCCACGACCATTCCTCCCTGACCCTCTAAAATGAAGAGCAAAAACACGGCGTTTGAGTCCCCGTTCATTAGTTTCAACGCTCGGCGATTGGTTCCGGTGTCAACGGTAAAAAAACGATGACTGTACCGCAGTAGCCCCTTAAAAAACTGCGCGACCAACGACACGGGCCGGCAACGGGACGCTACACTGCAAAAACTGTTCCAAGCTGCGCAATGTCCCAGCAAATAGAAAATAAACAATTACAAAGTTTGTAAAAAAAATATTTTATCTCGTTACAAGCTTTGGATATCGAAGGAAACAGAGTCTAAGTCAAGTTTTATTATATACTATGTATTTGTGAAAGCCCTGGTCAAGATTGTCGCAACCCTTTTCCTCATTATGGAAAAAATTAAATATCATTCACAGTTTGCAAGACTCACGCTTTTTTTGGTGTGCGAATTTGCAACCTACTGTTGAGTCTGACCAATATTTTCCCTAGAAGCGACGTTGAGTAAAAACTTTGTACGTGTTCAAACTAAGTAATTTCCGACGTGTCAAGATTGCAAGATTGCAAATGCACGATGTCTGTTTCTGCACCGGCAGCGATTATTGCGCTCACGATTTAGTTTTAGTGTGACATTGTTTGATGTTATAGAAAAGCAAATCAATGAACAGTCGTAACTATTGTTTCTTCACACTTAACTTCTCACGGTAGTCCAAAGTTACTATGTACTTTGCAGCTATGCAATGGCTTCATTTCATTTAATTTGTTAGATATTTCGGATTTTTTTAGCCGAAAGTTATGGCTGAAAGAAATATTTTGCAGCTGCCAAGTTTTATTGCAGGAAGAGTTTTTATTATCGTCGTTTCGGCGACTTGGTCGAGAAATGTGGTTTGTTTGAACTCCGTTTTATCTCTAGCCCGCGGTGCTCAGGCTAGAGATTCTTCAATTTTTCAAAGTCACTTCAATTTCTGATACAAAATGAAGCGTCATATCTGATCCTGCTACAGATCATCTTTATTTGAAAGGTTGAAATGCACACAAAATGTTCTCGTTTATACTTTTTTCTGTGACCTCACGAAGAATTAGCGTACCGAACACAGCAATTCGATTCTCACTACGACACTCTACATCAATTTTTGAACATCTTAAAAACCGTACATGAGCCTAAATTTTTCCTGATAAAACACAGGCAATTGAGTACCAAACATAGTATGTAAATCCTATTAATTATTTATAGAATAAACTACTACATCGAAGTCAAATGAAAAACTGTTTCACCAAGTTCACATGATCAATGAATTGAACTATCGCGAACATAATCGAGATGGGAGCACATAGAGCGATTTCTGAAGAATTTTTGAGAAAAATTTACACAACGATCGCAAATTTTACAATTTTCATGGTTTATTTTCACTCATTTGGGTTAAAACAAGCAAATTTTGTATGTTTATGAGCTAATGGTCTCACGATTTCTAACGTATTCATTTAGGCATCGTTGCACAACGTCCCGTAATTTTACATTCAAATGAACGAATTTAAATCTCAAGTAATTAACAAAGTTCTAAATGACACCGCTTGTTATATGCATTAGGTACAAAATAAAATGATATGTGCATGACTAACCTTCGTTATTACAAAATGATTGACGATATTAGTCATCATCATTAACCCATCATCATCGTAATGATTGAAAATAACTGACCATTTTTAAAGCATTAATTGCGCCATCACTATCACTAACAGTTAACAACAAGATCATTTACAACGAACATGTACATATATAATACAAAACATTTACCGGTTAATATTACAGTGTACAATTGCACTCTGCATGCCAGGCCTTGATTATATGCAAATAAAGTAAAAATGCATTCACGTGATGCCGACATGTACATATGGAGTAGTGTACATGGAGAGTAGTATACACATGGAGTAGTGTACATATGGAGTAGTGTACACATGGAGTAGTATACACATGGAGTAGTGTACACATGGAGTAGTGTACACATGGAGTAGTGTACACATGGAGTAGTGTACACATGGAGTAGTGTACACATGGAGAATAGTGTACACATTGAGTAGCTTTATGTGTAGTGAAGAATCTCAACGTAGGATTACAACACATTGTTTCTTTACTTATGTGAATAATTTCTTCACAAAATAATTATAAAGTATGATACAGAATCGCAATTAATATGTTATCGTTAGGTATATAATAATTCAAAATTTGTATTATAAATTATTAACAGTTGGCAACTGAATTAATAATCGAATACATACGACTCCGACTAATGCAACAATTAGTTATTATGAAGTTATGTATAGTTCGCTGTTAACTTATAAGGAACTTTTTAAGAGCTATCTAATTATCGAGCAGTTCCCTCAGTTCAAACCATTTACTCGACTTCGTTCAACAGTTTTCGTATTCGTATACTTCTAATAGATTTACAGTAATTACAATAATGGCGGATGATAGATACGCCATGCAGGGAAGTAATTTTTTTAGGATCTTCAGAGAAAATTTGGTATTTTTTTTAAACAAGCAAATCGTTAACGAATATTCGTGTAAACTATATAATGCACTCTGGTAAGTTGAATTATTAGTATTGTTATTTTATTTCATTATTATTATTATTATTAATTTTGCATTGACGACGCGTTCTTTTAAAACTGTTTTCGGCTCAAACTTACATCGATGCTTTATGAACGCACGTATAATCATTATGGTCTAAATTTTAAGTAGATTTTTATGATGTTGTTGAATGATAATGAGCAGAATAAACGAAGGTGGTTTTTATCAGAGTGATCACCTAATTATTTATAATTTGTCACATTATTCCAAGCTCAGATTTTTCATCGTGCTTTTAAAAATAAAATACATGATATGCAAAAATTGACCTTGTTAGTATTCGTTACCTATGTTTCAAAGCAGTTTGTAACAATAAATTCAATTAATTAAAGAAAAATAAAGTGTGAAATTAAAATAGGCATTAAATTTCATTGAAAACTTTTAAATGACAATCAGAAACAATTATCTTCCTTCAAAATGTGCACAATAGCAAAACGATTATATTTCAGATGAAAATCTCTATATGCACGGTAATGCCCATCGAAGACTGTGCATTCTTCAGACGTTCAGAATTTTCCTATAATAACTGAAGGATTTATACACATCAAGACGAGGCCCTGAGGTAATGGAAAAAAAACCCTGAGGGAAAACTCTGAGGAAAAAAAAATCTATGGAGTGACGTTCTTTTTCCAGAACTGAGTTAATATGCCCAGAATACGTCTTGCTGAAATGTAATGTGTTGAATTAACATGCAAACCAATCAAGAAGAGGTATAATTTTATTTTAATATGAAGAGGTTTCATTATTATCACTATATAACGCATAAATAACAATCTTAGTTACAAATTTATACAGAATTTTTCACGCGTTCAAGTCCCTGCAAAATCACCCCTGGTTGCCTTTACGTTATTTAAAGCGACTCTGAGAGTAATAGTTCAGAAGATAATAACGCTTCATTCACTAGGCAGATCTTCTAAGTCATCATTCATTCACTTTTGACCTCACGAACGCCATTCACATTCATGACGAATATATTAATTGCATATATTAAAAGTGATGGAAGCTCCATGCTGAGGAGGCGAGATATTTACATGCATAAATGCTATTACAAATACATTGTTCACAATTTACAGGTGTGATAAGAAACTCAAACTAAACAAAAATCAAATTTGTATTTGCTTGGATAATACAAATATCATAAAAATATTATAAATATTAAGACAGGATGTTTTCTTCGTTCTCTTTAGGGTCTTTTTCTGTCATATGCCTCGAATTTTTTAGCGATTTGATGTAGTGAATTATTAGGTGCGATCAACTGACGTATGTTGGGTAGAAGGCATGCATGGTGGAATGTTGAAGGCATGCTTACGTCCTGTCCAAGACATGTAACGAGCATGTTCATGATACGTTCATGAAATTCATGACATGATCCTGTCATGTTCATGACGTATAACTTACTTTTCACAACATGTTAACAGCATATTCACATGTTATAAAAGCATGTTCCTGACGTTTTCATGACATTTTCATGGCTTGTCCACAGCAAGTTTACAGAATATTCATGGTATGTTGACAGAATGTTCACATGTTCACAACGTGTTTACAACATGTTCACATGTTCACAACATGTTCACAACATATTCACGACATGTTCACCGCATGTTTACGGCATGTTTACACCATGTTCACTGCATATTCACATGTTTACCGCATATTCATGGCATGTTCACAACATGTTCACAACATGTTCGCAACATGTTCGCAACATGTTCACAACATGTTCACAACATGTTCGCAACATGTTCGCAACATGTTCACAACATGTTCACAACATGTTCACGACATATTCATGTCATATTCACAGAATGTCCGCAGCATGTTCACGATATATTCATGTCATATTCACAGAATGTTCGCAGCATGTTCACAATATATTCATGTCATTTTCACAGAATGTTTGCAGCATGTTCACGGCATATCCATGACATATTCCCGGAATATTGACCCTGGCCTGTTCACAACATGTTCACAAAGTAGCATGTTCACAGCATGTTCACGGTATGCATACGATATAATAACTTCGTTTGTTAAATCACGAAACATGCACGTAGCGGGTAATTTTTCCTATCATGCAATTTTAACGCTATCACTTATAAGACATCATAAACTTTAAAGAACTAAACAGGAATCTCTTAGACTAAATAACTTTATAAATCAATGAACACAATAGAACGACTATCAGATTTTTTGTTCTTATAAGACGGTGCTATTTGCTTTCATTTTTAACCCTTAATTACATAGCATGGAATAATTACCAATTAGGTGATAATACCCCGTTAACATTCCTACATAAAGTTACTTCGGGCGAGCCAAGATATATGAAATAATCTTATTTAACAACAAAAATAAGTGCAATCAAATAATATAGATCAGAAATTGTCAAACTTACAAAAGATAGTTTACATTGAAGAAGTCTATGCGAGTTCTACTGAGGTTATGTTAAGTTTGATACCATCGAACTGGATCATAAGGGTTTTTAGACGACACGTGAGCACTAGGGTAGATATTTGAATTGTACAAGTCAGTGTAAGGTTCACATGTCATAGTCTTCAGTCTGTCAGGGGAAACACTGGATGGAGGACTTATCTGGTAGCCAGGATACCCAGAAGGAACAGACATGAGGCCGGACGATGTTGTCGTCGGTAATGAGGTGATGATGGTTGGTGCCGTGCAGTGAGCTGAATTTGGATTCACGATGATTTCCTGTGGATCTCTTGAGGTTTTTATGACGCTTTCACGTTTGGTAGAGCAGAGCTGACGAAGGATCGTTGATGATGAGTGGTTCTCTTGTCCACCTGCCCACTGGATTGTGTGGAAGCCTTCTGACAACCCACCCAGCGAAGTGGTCACCCCTACTCCAACTCCACCCGAATCCATCATTCCATCTTGAGGTAAATGTCTGGTCATGGCTGCCTCAAGATGACGCACTGAACCTTCTGAATCATGCTGAGGAACTTTCTCCATGGTTGGATATTGATGATTTGGTGATATTTGTGTATTTGAGATCGGAGAAAAACGATTTATGGCGGCTGGAGATAGTTGAGTGTGGCTGGGTAAGCTGGTGTAATGCATGTGGGACTGCGGCGTGATGGGGGATAGTTTCTGAGAGTGCATGATGTCGTCCAAGTGTTCGGGCACCGTAAGAGGCGTCAAGATGGATCCAGTCTGTAGGAATAAATGAGATTCCTCCTTAGAAACACATTGGAAATACCAAATACAGGAGAAATGCCAAATGTTTAATTAATTTCACAAATATTGATCATTTTTAAATTGTGTACGACAGGACAAAGAATAGAAGCATACCTCAGTCTTGATCGTTTCGCCTTCCGCGGAGACGATGGGCGTTAGACCTCCGATTCTACTGACTGGTGTGAGTTGTGGAGTAAGTGGAGCTACGTGGGGAATATGGGTGTCATTGTGGGGCGTGAGGGGACCTCCATGGCTAAGATGAGTGTCGCTCATCATGACCTGTTGATCATGATCCATCTGGGAAGATGACCTAATGTCATGATGGTGGCTCTCCTGAAGGTGTGTATCATGTGGGTTGTGCATGCGGCTCTCCAGAACGGCTTCGTGTACCAGATCCTTCGTGACCCCATGTAGGGAACCATTCTGGCGATGGTGGTGGTTATGGTGGTCGATGAGAGGTGGGGTTAGAGAATCGCAACCAACCGACATGGACGGGGTAAGTGGCTTCAGTGATGGAGAGTTCGTGCGTTGAGGGGTTGGTGTGTTGGAACCTTGATGTCCAGAGAAAATCAGAATATTTTAATAAAAATTCAACATTCTAAGACACAGCAATACCAATATATTCAAAAACACCATTAATTAAGATGCATTTCCATAAATTCTCAAATATTATTAGGAAAATTAGTTGCTTGAAAACTCCACTAAATAATTGACATTAGGCGCTCATTTTTTGTTCATATTTCACGTGTGAAGTATATTACCTGATCTACTCGGACTATGTTGGCGTCCGAAGTCGTTGGTGACGTCAGACTTGACGTGTGCCACGCTAGGCGTCATCTGGTGCTCGTCTAAGATGACGCTGTTGTCGACCGAGCCGCTAAGAGCCAAATACTATCTTGTTATTCGTAACCTTGATATCTTGTATTGCGGATAACTTTGGTATCTTATGTAAGTCTTGTGATTCCAGCAACTGATTTATCCTTTATAAAATTCAATGTATGGGGCACTGGCAGATGCAAGCTTAGAAATGCTCAAGCGGAATAATGAGAAAAGAATAATTTTCGCGAATGAAAAATAATGCAGTTTACAGGCCTGTAATTTACAAGACGCCGTTACGAAAATATATTCTTACGTAAACAAGTAACAAATGCCAGCAGATTATTTTATTTAGTCTATAAATATAATAATATCATACCTGAGGACATAGTTCACACAAATGATGTTCTGTTCGTCGCTGCTTTTGCTGTTGCATATTACTGTAGCGCACGTCTGTACCCACACCCAACCTCCTGTTCTGTTCAGAATGCGGTAGTACGGAGACATCACCTGACCTTTCTTCATAACTGCGTTAACAAATAGAGAAAAAAACATCAGCGCCAACAATTTAGCATTAAAACAAATAAATTTTCTTTCACTTAACCCGATTAAAATCTATCAAAGATGAGTTTTCTTATATCAATACATGTATATGGAGAAAGGTTTCATACTTTCTGTAGGTGATAAACTCGAATCTTGTTGACAATAAAACCCGTGTGGTGGTATTGTGTCAAAAATTCTTAGTTAGTAAATACTAAATTCTAGTTGTTGCGTTAACTTGACTCCTGAATTTTTGTTTACTATTTTCGTGCTACTGTGCAATGCATGTTTAATGTTTTCTAACATAAAACTTAGTGATTTAGTCTTTATCGCGGTGAATTGTAAGTAACTGGCGCTTAGTAGGCTATATAGTAACTGACACCTCATAGAACAAGACAACCAAAATTTGTGTAGTACACACGACTATACCCACGATGAGTGCTGTCGCCATGATAAACCAATCAAAATTTGTGGAGTTTACAGGACTTCACTCACGGTCAGTGCGGGTCTTCCTAATTATCCAACATGGGTTCGTGTGGTACACAAGACTATACTCACGGTCAGTGTGGGTCTCACTACTATACAACCTAGGTTTGTGTGGTACACAGGACTATACTCACGGTCAGTGTGGGTCTCACTACTATACAACCTAGGTTTGTGTGGTACACAGGACTATACTCACGGTCAGTATGAGTCTTCCTGAGGTTCTCCACGTCCTGGGCGTGACATAACGCATACAAGGACCTTCCCAGCAGCTCTTCGGGGGTGTAGTGCAACAAGTCTGACACTCTGCAGAGGGCAGGCAGTACGAGGCCATTGTTAGCGATGGTAAGAGTTCAATCCATGAGTAATATTTTTGTTCAAAAAAAACGGAACCTTTATAATTTTCACAAGCAAAAAGATTTTTATAGACCAAATTTATCTTGAGATCATTAAATATAAGGATTTATATAAAAGATTTGTAGGTAGGGGGATGGACGATAAGATCAATATGAATAATACAAATCTTCAGCAAGAAAATGCGGTAATCATGAGAATTACAAACGAGGATTATCTTAATTTTCAGCTATTCCATACGTAAAACATATAACAGCTAAAATATAATTTAGAATAAAAGCTCTTTGAAGAAACCGCAAAATAACAACGTAGATTTCATTGGGCCAAACTTGCATAGAGCATCACTATTATGCTTAATAATAAGGAGAAAAGATCAAAATTTTCATCAATATCAGTTCATGAAAGACTAACTTTGCTTCACAGTGTGCGAGTCTGAAGTCCATGTTGATCCTGGACACGAACATGTCGGGCTCGAGCTTCATCTCGTTGACGGAAGGTGAGGGAAGAGCGATGGCCAGGGCCACCAGCCCCATGAGGTTGGGGGGATTCTTTTGCTCGTTTTGGTGGTGGGAATGGAACTGTGCTTTGGGTCGAAGATGGCCCAGGACCAGAACCACCTAAAACATAGCACGAGCCTTCATGTTAACACCCATTAAAATTAGACCTGTGGGTTAGTTTTCACACCGCCGGACACTCGACAGGTGTCAAAAAAATAGATCTTTTATTTTTCCAACGAACGAAACGCATTTCAGGAAACAGCTTTAGACGAGAAGTATTTAGTTATTATTTGCCTATTTATACAAACAACAGGAAGCTCAGGAGAACCCTAGATACCTTTCAAAAAATCGTCTTGGACCTCCCCTTATGCATCAATGATAATAATCACAAGAACTAAGCACCGAATTAGGCAATAGGCGAAAGAATAGTTCTATTGAATTAAAAGATGGCGGCCCTCACCCTATCCCACTTGTTATACGCAACAGTGGCACACAAATAAGGGTAGCCATCACTCACCCTGTACCCGGAGCTCTTGAAGTGGCAGCCTCGCTTGTCATACGCAACAGTGGCACGCAAATAAGGGTAGCCATCACTCACCCTGTACCCGGAGCTCTTGAAGTGGCAGCCTCGCTTGTTATACGCAACAGTGGCACACAAATAAAGGTAGCCATCACTCACCCTGTACCCGGAGCTCTTGAAGTGACAGCCCCGCTTGGTGAGTGTGGACTTCATGCGGATGCAGAAGGCTCGGTCGTAGCCGCGGTATCTTGAGCTCGACGACAGCGACATCGGCATGCATACTGTCGTTTCCGTAGGGACCAAGCAAACTTACAATTAATCCCATCCGATAAATATATTTTATTCAGATACCTTTATGAGTAATGTCAAGTCCGAGTCAATTATGATCACAAAGTCAAGAGATCTGTAAGTAAATACATTGACATAATGAATTTTTCGCTTAATTTGTTTCAATAAAACTTAGTTCAGCATATTGTGCCATCATTCATTGGTATCTCAGAATCAAAATAATATGGATTCATTTAGTCGGCGAACATTTTTTCGTTAATTTCTCTGCATAATGCACAGCACTTCCTAAATAGTTAGTTCCAGTTAGTAATAGGATATTTTCAATAATGACCATGAATTTATTTGAAAATGCGCGTTAGTAAACAACCTCATTCATTTGTCATGCCAACGAAAACTTTAGTATAATACCATTAAATTCTTGCTTGCTTCGCAACTCGCAGAATTATGCATTTATTTACACACAGCATTAGTTTTAACGTGACGGTATGCTTGCCCATGCCCGTGCATTGTTACTTGTCTCGATGAAAAGATTTTTTGACACAAGTTATTATGTGACACAAGATGTAATGAGACACGATAGATAATGAGACACAATAAGCAATAAGATTCTTTAGGTGATGAGAAGTGTGACATTACAAGACACGCTGCTGCTTGAGAGGTTACAGCAGTTTTGTATCAGACCTCCACGCTACCACATGCTGAAATTCCTCAATGTTACATGTTAAAACTTGTTATGAGTTATATCATTCACTGGTTCATGTTACAAATTGTTAGAAATTTTATCAAAGTCATATGTTAACATTTTACCACGGCCTCAAGTTCCCTCATTGCTGTTCATTAAAAACTGTTACTGCAGCGTGTTGCAAGTTCTTAACAGGTACACATGTTAATTGTATCTTGAAACCTGTTATTAGTAATTAACAACCCTCATCCTGTAACACAGTACAACTCCAACCCAGTTGCATGTTACGTGGTTACATTGTTAACTGCCCGCAATGTACATTACTTCAACCATGTCATTAATCGATCATTTCTCCTCACCTCAACCAGTTTAGTGGATTAATTAACAATACTCACTTTTTTTCTTACCGTCAGGGTTCATCGTCCCACCAGTTTGACTGTTACCACCGCTACCAGCACACCCATCGTCACTCGTGAGTGACGAAGGCGACGACGAGGCTGTCAATGACGCATTAACGAGCGACGCGGCAGCAGAGGATGCAACAGACGAAGTCGGCGACGAGCTCGTGAGAGTCAGGCCAAGCTGCTCGGCCAGCTCCACGTGATCGTCGGAGTGGATGTACTCGAACACTGAGGAACCCGCCATCTCAACCTGGTGGTCACGAACAGGTGGTGGTATATCAGACACTTGTGGAACGCGAGGCTACCACACACGCTTGTCTAACACCAATTTTACATCGAACACTTACGAACACGCCATCTCAACCTGGTGGTTACGAACAGGTGGTGGTATATCAGACACTTGTGGAACGCGAGGCTACCACACACGCTTGTCTAACACCAAGTGATACATCGAACACTTAAGTACACGCCATCTCAACCAGGTGGTTACGAACAGGTGGTGGTATATCAAACACTTGCGGAACGCGAGGCTACCACACACGCTTGTCAAACACATAAAGTGATACATCAAACACTAACGGACTCGCCATCTCAATCTGGTGGTCACGAACAGCTGGTGGTATATCAGACACTTGTGAAACGCGTGGCTAGCACACACGCTTGTATAACACCAAGTGATACATCGAACACACACGAACACGCCATCTCAACCTGGTGGTTACGAACAGGTGTGGTATATCAAACACTTGCTAAACGCGTACCTGCCACACACTCTTGTCCAACACCAAATGATACATCAAACACTAACGAACCCGTTTCATAGTTAAAGCATAATTTTTAGGCCCATTCTTGTCTTTCCAACATTCCCGTTGATTGATTTTAAGCAATAAGCGTTCCTTAATCGCCTTTCGTTTGCCTCAGGAATTGTGAAGAGGTTTCCTTCGAATTGCTCGTCGAGACGCACGAGGCCCCTTCTTTACTAATTAAATGAGCTTAGTTTTCCTTCCTTAAACTTCGCTGATGAGGTAATCTGAGCACAAACTTGCTCACAAGCAGCAGACCCTCAGACACGGACGCGCCAGTCGTACCATAGGGAGTTGGTGAAAATGTTATCTACGATTCATTCCCAGACCACGGGGATGGGGAGGAATGTCGCATTAAAAATCCAAGTCAAATTATTTTATTTCCAGAAGTAAAAACTTTGCGCTTTGTATTAATAAATTTGTACAAGCTTCACGTGTAAATTTAAAGTGCGTAAGTTCACGATCACTTTGTATTGATTCCTACCCTCTCTGCCACTGGCAGTAATGTGTATTCAAATATATAACAAAGTTTTTGCTGCAATTCATTTATTATTATAAGTTTTTTTACTCAATTTTAAATAAATCTCATGTATTCGTTTCATTTCTACCCACCTTATTCCATACTTATCGCGATTACATAACCAAAACCTCCCCTCAAGGCATCGAGTCTGCGAGGGACCCGGCAAATCAATATAAATGGTAAAGCAAGTCGTCGTTTCGGGTTGTTGCGAATCATCTGGAATTGCGACGAGAAAGCTTCAGCAATCTATGACGGTCTGCCGAAGTGTTATGGACACGGGAAGGCGTGCGAGGCCCAGACTTGTGCCGCTGTAACCTTAAATCTGATCAGCCATAATCAGGACATTGCAAGGGTCCCTAGTAGCCCTTCTGCTACATCCGCCAGACATGCCGCCGTCTCTCAAAGAACTTATTGAAATTTTTGGTTCCAGTGGCAAGTCAATGGCTGACGATCAGCCACCAATAAAGCGAATAGGATTTTTATTTTCGCAATGGCAAGCGAGCAGCGAATATTTTTAATTCGATTACAAGCAACGCAATGGCAGAGCGAGCAGTGAATATTTTTAATTCAATCACAAGCGAGTATACGCTCGCAACTCTACATTTTTTACCTTTTCTATTTAAAATAAACTTACTTGATATTTTCTGAGAATACAAACAAACTTCTCAATTTATGATATCAATATTACGCAGCTTTCGGTTTGTCTGTGCCGTACATTGAGTTATTATGAACGTTACAATTATAAACTCGATAGCGGTGAACTTTGTCAAAAATCAGACGAAAAATATCCATAATTGCATATTTTAGTCAGCACATATCACTTTGATCTAAAACATAAACTTTTGGACTATTATTAAACGTATTTTGGTTATATATAAGCGATAAATCACGCACTCTGAAGGAACTCTGCTGGACATGGACATCTAGCAACCACATCTCCTGCCTTTGGCCTGCCCATTCTCTTTAGCTTGCATTTTTTCATTTTTTTGTTGAAAGTTATTTTTTTCATTTTCCAGAGTTAAGTAAGTGCACTCAATAACTCTCTTTTATTGCTTAAAGTAGACGTTTCTGAACGTCGATGCGACAATATATTAATTGTTTATTTCTTGTTGAGCAACCGGATGAGTACTATGAATGTTTGCTTAAGAAATTTTCGTAAATAAATTTTTTCGCGGGTATGGCATATATCGAACATTTGACACAGAAATAGAGTAGAGATTAGAGTGGAGCTGAAAAAGCGACTCAGAAGGGACAACTAGTTGAAGGAACGAGACGATAAAAAATGTAAAAATTCTAAGAGGAGGGAAAAGGAGTGAAAGTTTGAAGCGAGAAACCAGAAGGAATGCGAAGAAAAAGAGTCGGTGAAGAGAGTGGAGGTGTAGAGGCAGTATTTGGAGAGAGTGGATGTGTAGAGGCAGTATTTGGAGAGAGTGAAGGTGTAGAGGCAGTAGTTGGAGAAATTCGAGGTGTAGAGGCAGTAGTTGGAGAGAGTGGAGGTGTAGAGGTAGTAGTTGGAGAGAGTGGAGGTGTAGAGGCAGTAGTTGGAGAGAGTGGAGGTGTAGAGGTAGTAGTTGGAGAGAGTGGAGGTGTAGAGGCAGTAGTTGGAGAGAGTGCAGGTGTAGAGGCAGTAGTTGGAGAGAGTGGAGGTGTAGAGGCAGTAGTTGGAGAAATTCGAGGTGTAGAGGCAGTAGTTGGAGAGAGTGGAGGTGTAGAGGCAGTAGTAGGAGAGAGTGGAGGTGTAGAGGCAGTAGCAGGAGAGAGTGGAGGTGTAGAGGCAGTAGTTGGAGAGAGAGTGGAGGTGTAGAGGCAGTAGCAGGAGAGAGTGGAGGTGTAGAGGCAGTAGTCGGTGCAGCGGAGGCTGTGTTATGCCAGTCACGTATGACGCAGCGGCGCGCGCTCAATACCGACGCATGGCAGGGCATAGCGGTGAAGAAGAGGGAAGAAGGAAGGAAGAGGAAAAGAGGGAGAGAAAAGAGAAAGAGAGGAGATTAGCGAGAGGGAAGAGAGATGAAATGTGGGAAAAGAGATGGAATAAGGTAAGAAAGAAGAAACAAAGAGGAAAGAGGGTGAAATAGAGGAAAGAGGGGAAGAGGAAGGGAAGAGGGTCTGAGAGAGGGTAAAAAAGGGGAAACAGAAAGAGGGCCTGAGAGAAAGTAATTGATAGGGAAGAGGGGAAGAGAGAGTGAAGAGGGTTGGAGAAAGAGAGGGTGAAAGAGAGAGAAGAGGGGAAGAAGCACTAGAGAGAAAGTAAAAGAGAGGGAAGAGAGGAGGATAGAAAGAAGAGGGTCTGAGAGAGGGTAAAAGAAAGCGAAGAGAGAGGGAAGAGGGTTAGAGAGAGGGATCAGGATGCAGTAGATGAAAGAAAAGCAAATATCAAACTGGTGGAAAATTGGGCCAACGAGCCTATACAAGGCTCGATAAAGACCAAATTTAAGATTTAAAGCGAAGGGGAAAATAAAGCAGAATAAATTTTTTAATAAAACGGAAGATATTAAAAATACTGAAGCATTATACGTAGCAAATTAGGGAAGAAGGATAAAATAAATGCAATTTAGGAAACGATGCTATCATGAACAGAAGAGAACAAAAGGCAGACATCACAAAAATCAAATGCGTTTCTTTTCGTCATTCCAAAGAACATACAAATGCTTCACTGAAAAAAATAAGCATTGACACCATTGCAGCATGCAAACATTTGCGATTAATTATCAATTATATACAGGAAAACTTAATGAAGTAAATACGGTTAATGCCGACAGTAAATATTGTGCCGTATAAGTACAGTGTACCGTCTGTAAATCTTATGCAGATATAATGCACTTAAAATAAACATGGCTGGGACGATTAAGTAAATTGTCAGCTAAACTAGGCAAGATATTATTATGAATACGTCAAAATTCCCGTAAAAACACTTTATATTAACAGTAAGACTCACTGGTGCTTCAATTCACTCACCTATGTGGCACTAATGACCTCCGTGCGCCGTCAATAACTCACGAGTAGCACAATTAATTCAGGAGTGACAATGTGTAATAATCTTAATTAAATAGTTAGGAAACCATGTGAATTAAAATCTTTTAGAGGCGCTCACACACTTGACTTACTTGTGAGACGTTTGACATACTGGTGACACACTAGACTCACTTGAGACACGCTTGAGTCACTTGCGACACACTTGACTCATTTGTAACACGCTTAACTAGCTTGTGACACGCTTAACTCATTTCTGGTACACTTGACTCACTTATGACTAGCTTGGCTCATTTTTAACAAGCTTGACTCACTTGCGACACACTTAACTCACATGTAACACGCTCCACTCACTTGTGACCCTTTTGACCCACTAGTAACACGCTTGACTTACTTGTGACACGCTCAACTCACTTGTGGCACTAATGACACGCTTAACTCACATGTGACACGCTCCACTCACTTGTGGCACTTTTGACCCACTAGTAACACGCTCAAGTCACTTGTGACACGCTCCACTCACTTGTGGCACTTTTGACTCACTATTAACACTCATGACTCACTTGTGACAGGCCCAGGTAGATGGACACAGTCTCGGAGATGTACAGGAACCTGCCGTCGGCTGCGAGCGTGAAGGCGAAACCATCCAAGGACTGCAGGACGTGGGATCCTTGGTGCACCTCGAAGATATCCTCCGGTGAGCATCCCTGATTCCTGCCGCGAAGTCCTGCCCAGCGCAACGAAAAGAGCCACGGCGTCAGATTTGCAAAGCGGTGTGGCGATGGTAATCTCATGTATGGAGATATTATGGTTATGTTTATGTTGTTATGTGTTGTTGTGTGTTATGGTTATGTTTATGTTGCGCATCGTCGTGAGATTTGTGCAGTGGAATACATGAAAATATCGTGTGGTGATAATTATGTGGTGTGATACGAACTGGAGTGATTATGTAACGGACTAATTGGTATGGTTTGTGCTTTGTGCATCATGTGACGAGTTGAGATTATCACAGTGGGAAACATGATACATGCTATTTTTTTACTTTTTTTCAAACTTGCTTAAACCATATATATAAAATTTTGAGGCTTCCATTCGAAGATACTTGCTGCATAACTATCCGTTATTCGGCTGGTCTATTCAACTACAGCTTAATCCGAAATTTGCAAACTCCTGGACATTTCTACTTTTCTAGGATAGTCCAATAAGCTAGGACAGCCCTGTCACTCTTGAACAACCCAATAATTTCCAAAGAGGCCGACATATCTGTGAGTTCTACCACAGCAAGAAGTTGCAGAGGCAATAGGGTCGGCATGGCGGCCCCAGGTCATCAAGGCTAAGCGCCTTCATTAACTAAAAGAGATATTAAAGAGGCTCCTAACCTCGCTGGTTATTGCGCCCTCAGATTAATGTCACCCGCCATGGATCAGACGAGATAAACACAAGCATTAGGAAGCGATATGACTTGTGTGACGAACTCCTGATTCTTCATCACCCTGATGATGATGGAGGCTTTGCTCCACTCATTACTGCTCTGCAATATACGTCAGGCTCCCTTACATGAAACTGGAGCCGTGGCAAGGCCGATTTATCAGAGGCCATAGCCGTACCAAGGCCGATTTACAGCAAGTCATAGCCGTACTAAGGCCGTAGGCCATTCATCAGCTTCCTAAAACTGTTCAAGATAATGGATTAGGTACACAAGCCTCGTTTACAAGCCTATTATGGTTATTACAAATACATCAAGCTTGTATACAATTGTACATACACAAGTTCAACTCCACAAGAGAAATCTCATTTACCTCATGTCGGAAGATTTTAATTGGGTAAAAAATCACTGGAGTTCCTTAGCATCATGCAATCAGTTCTTTCCAGGTTTCAGCAGTGCATCTTCATTTAAATTTGCGATCCGACTTTGTGTCGACAGATTCTGATTTTGCTATCTTATGGTTAATTTAATGAGGCTTTTCATTTCAACTAAGGTGCAAAATTAAATACTTAGCATGAAACGATATTTTAGTCATCCAAAATTTCCTTCGTTTCATTGAACGCTTCTTGCCATCAGCTCTTATTCTCTGTATAGCAAATGAGAAACAGTAAATATCCTGACACTTCTTTAAGCTTTGTGAACATAATTGTGATATTTTCTATCGGCATTTTTTTGCCGACCATTGGAAGGCTTGTGCCTTCTTTTTTATCTTGTTATTTGGGTACTTCAATTAATTGCTTTGAATTGTTCGCTGCCATGCAATCCACACATCTGATTCAAATGGCCAGCACTTGCTCATATTTCCTATTAACAGCTACGGATACGGAGGCATGGAAATCGCTCTTTCTTATTTACTTGTTTCCTATTCCCCATCGAAGGAATGCACCCTACATCACTGCAGGCAGTAGGAGGCAATGCCTTCTCCTACCCGACACTGGTCCTCTCACCGTCATCCCTATTCTTCTTCTCCGGATCCCGAGTACCGCAATTGCTCCCACAGGATCTCAGTGTCTATGATTTAAGGGATCCTCACAACTCAAAAAGATTACAGCCGTACCACCAGAATTAGCAACGTTAACTCGGCCCCGCTCAACTGCCGCAGTGATTGCCACAGAGATACTGAAGGCAAATGATTATGATCTCTTGCTGCCGGGAAATCATGTCCGGATTCTCGACTCAATCGTCGGCATCTCTGTCCAGGGAAAGCATGCATGAAGACGATAAATTTTGCTCAAGAATGTAAATCACCTTTTAACTGGCAGGATTAAGGTAGCCACTTCTAATCGAAGACTCAAGAAGCGTGCGGCAAACGTAAGCCCTCGTCAGGGATTCCAATTCTTCTAAAGAGACGCCGACGACTAAGTGACCATGAAGAAAACGCCATGTGCTATTGAGACATGAATTACGGAGACCCAGACTCCAGAAGCAGCGCGGCAAATATTTTGTGTCGCTCTTATTGCCTCAATTGCAGTTGTCCTGCTTTGCATAACTGCCACATTTCTGGTATCACTCCCTTGCATTATCATGTGCACCAGAGGGGGAAACTCCCGCAACAGAAGGTACTCTTTGTGGGACAAGTTAACCGTAAAATTCCCATAATGCTTCACTTTGTACTCAAGCAAAGCATTGAAAAATTTATCGGCGTTAAAGCTCGCCTGGAGTAAAATGATAATATTCGAAAATGATAATAAACACATTTCACCACTAGTTTGAGCAACAGAATAAACTTATTAAATTTCTATTTGTTATGTTTTATAACTGCTTCAAGTTTTGCTAAGTATGTTTGAATGGAGAAGACAATTCGTTTTCCATTAACACCTGCACCTTTTTCCACATTTTTAACGATCGTGTTCAGACAATAAAACTTAGAAAGTCAACCTCGCTGAATTTTCAACATACTTGTACGTGACCGCATCCCGTGAACGCTAAAGATTGATCAGAACGAAACACGACTGCTTCCTTTTCTCCCTCCCTTGGGTTAATTTGTATCCCTGCTCTCCAAAGGTCTTGCACAATTGTCGGTAATTCCGAACATTATTTTAGTCTCCCCTGCAGTAATTGGGAGGTTAACTCAATCATCTCGGTTAGTTGGACGTCAATGCCTCACCAAGGCAAGTTACCTTACCCCAGTCCCGCTTGCATCAGGGACCTTTTTTTGCTCCTTTTGACTGCTTGTACGAGCGCCGGTCTCGACGTGTGACTCAATAAATACATTTCTCTCCAAAGTTTTCCTGCTAACTAATCATGCCCGTAACATTGCACTAGTGTTAAATAAACGCCTTACACTGACTGCTTCCGCACATCTCGACAATGAAATCCGTCATCGGAACTTCAGTTCGGCTAATTTATACTTTCTTGATAGCAAAGTGTTAAGTAAGAAAACAATGATTTTTTCTGAATTCAGAGCACATTGTACCAACAGAAGTCACCGTTTTATAATTTGACAAAAAGTTGTTCCTGTCTTAGAATTCAAGGTTTGCTTCCAAATACTATGCAGCTACTATCATATAGATAAAACTACCCTCTACTTTTTGAAAAATTAAGGCAAGACCAAATTACGACGAACACTTCGACGAAAGCATTTTTATAATCTAACCGTAGTTTTCATTTTTCTAGACGTAAATAAACTGATAAATTCAGTGTAAGTTCTAAGATTTCAAACTGTAGAACACGCGACACGAGTTGAAGTTAAAGCCTAAGTTTGGCAGCTACTGAGCTTGCAGCCGAGGCTGAGTAGGCGTTAGCCTCTTCATTAGCCTCACCACAGCCTCCCGTGTAGCGTAAACTCTGCCAATCAATTGACTGATCCAATCAATCGATGCGCCAGACACTCGTTTGAGTGGCGCAGTTTCTTGTCGGCCCATCAAAGTTAAGGCGTTGTCGACACCCGCCTTACTCTCAGGGGAATTAATGTGTAATATTGTTCAAATAGTGACGCGGTTTCTGCACGTGGCATTGATACGCTCTTTTTCAGTTGAATAAGTCTGGATAACTCACGACAGGGCAAGAAGTAAATCGCTATTTAGACAAAGTCTCACTTATTAATTTGAGTGTAGCGCAGACATATCGGTGGCTCATAGGTGGCACATGGTTGGCCATCTATGTTGACCATAACTGGAAACTGCTTGTAATAACAAACTTTAGTCTTCATGTTTGAGTGTGACTAATGTTGACTTTTGACCGTATTTCTATATGTAAAGAAAATCTTCGCTATTGAAATTCAAAATTCGAGGCTCGTGGCCACCACCTCAACCACCACCACCTCAACCACCACCACCTCAACCACCACCACCACCTCCACCACCACCACCACCACCACCATCAACCACGAGCCTAATAATCCGCTACAAATCCGCTCTAAATTTTCTCATCAGAAGCTGATCATCGGCGCGCGCGTCCGTCCGCACGACGATCGCGCTGCTGAAATTTTTCGCTCGCTCATCACAACATAATCAATAAAAAATATTTATTATTTCAAAAAAAATAAATTGTGATCATTCAATATTATTGTGCACCTCCTCTATTATTATTAAGCCTAGTAACTGTTACCCAAATTTTTAGGTTGCCCTTGAGTTTCGGGACATTTTCCCGCTTAATTTTTACGCTGGTAACAGCGTCTCTATCAAAGCCGAGCAACGGTTAACCAGGCAAAATTGTTATTTTTTCAGCAGAAAAGGACAGAAGTAAAATGTTCAAAATTATTTTTTTCAAGTCAGGTTGTATGTTTTATTGTTCGAGGCCTTCTTCGGTATACTCTTATCGATTGGGAATCATCGTCTCAAGTTTATGTTGTTTTACCGAGCAGAAATTGTCACTCCTTGATAACAGAATTATGTCGTTTAAAAACGGGACTAAATAAGAAATTACGAGTAATTTGTATTCAGTCATTAAAATTTCATTGAAATACACATCCAAAATGTCCTCTAAATTTTTTAGATTATCCGAAACTTACTGGCGATACTAAAAACTATTTTTGTAAGACGAATTAAAAGTTTCGTTCATTAAATATAAATATACAACTTTTTTTAGTTCATTCGTTTTTAAAATGTATATATTATAGCCCACGCGTATACCTGCCATTCGTTGATTAAACACTAACAATCTACACCAAAAACTCGTTTACTCGCAACCACTAAGCTACTCCTTGAATAACAGAAGACTGCTCGTAAGGAATAAATCACGCACGATCAGCCGGAGCATATATGCTTTAATTGTAAACATTAGCGCAATTGTGATATTGTTCCAGCCATATCTGCCCAATTGAACTGGTTCTTGCACCCAGATCAACTGGGTGCAAAAAAAAATGTTCTAAATTAGCTCCTTTAGCCGTACCGAGATCTGCCAATTGGGCTCAAACTGCACCATGTTTTTGAAGCTGAACAGCAACAAACTGCCTACTCAGCCTGGGCAATGAGTCGCGTGAATCTCTTGCCAGGCCGGGAAGTGCATAGGCTTTGTAGGCCTTGTGTCGCTGCCACGCTTCCTACCTTAGCGAATCACGCGTGAAATAAGAAGCTACTCAATGGGACCTTGCACCGATCATCTCACGCTTCCAGGGAAACTGGAAAAATCCTCCAAGGAACGCGTCATAAACCAATAATGTTCTTTGAATTCCTGTGCATCATGAAGCTGTAGAGTCGGAGATGCGCTTGCGTCGCTAAAAAATAGTTAAGCCTCGCTTGCGTCCGTCAATTACAACGAAGGTTTTCGTAGCCACGAATGAGTAGGAATATATGTCAACCTTTTAGGAAAAAAGTAATATCTATTTATCTTGAAATGAACATCAATAGACGTTATTCAAGTTGCTGAGTTGACTCACACCCCTCTCTGAGTTCTGGTTATAGGTACTGCAGGGGGGAGGTATTGGGGAGTAATCGCACTCACCTGTGAGTGCTGATGGAGGTGCTGGGGATAGGTACTGCATATGGATAGGTACTGGGGTGTAGTGGCACTCACCTGTGGGTGCTGATGGGTACATGGGAGGAGGTACTAGGTGATAATCACCCACCTTTGATGTTCTTGTGGTAGGAGTTGCTGCTGCTCCACGATGGGTCGCCACTGCGGGTGAACTCCCTGAGCTTGAGGTAACTGATGGTCAGGCGGATGATGGACGCTTTGTCCAGCTGTGTCGTGATGGCCGGTGGCAGCGGTAGCATCTGTTGGAGGACAACATGCAGACTGTAACATGAGCATACGTGGTTATTGGAGGACATGTGGCCACAACATGTGGACTGTAACATGAGGATATGTGGTCAGTGGAGGACATGAGGCCACAAGATGTACGCGGAGATATGTGGTCATTTGATATACTGCAGTGAATACCCAACATGAAATTAGCAGTAAATGCAATGATAGTAGCAGTAAGTGCAGTAACAGTAGCAGTAAGTGCAGTAACAGTAGCAGTAAGTGCAGTAACAGTAGCAGTAAGTGCAGTAGTTCTCACCTTGGCCAGTTCGTAGAACTCTTGGTTCTCTTTGCCTCGGCGACTGCGCGCAGCGTCTCTGCTCTTTTCCTTACGCATCTCCATCACGCTGTTCGATTAAAAATTTTTTAACACATAAATTATATTCTAAATTATTTGTACAAATTATGTCATTATTATGTATTATTGAAATATGTTGGTGTATAAATTCCTATTTGTCTATAATATTAGGCTGAATTCGTTTATAAACTGAGCGGCAAATTTAAAGCAAATTTTTGTACGTCATGATGATGAATTCACCGAAAAAAATGTGAGCTTCTTTGTTAGCTTCAGAAAATCATACTCAACTCTTTTAAAAGTCTCAATGAAACTAATCTGAAATTGATTAGTATTAACTATCTGGTCTAAAATTTGAAGATTTCTTTCTTGTATCGGATTTGTCGGAGTTCATGATTTGCTATTTTGGGTTTATAACAATAATTGCTTGAATCTGGATCGTAACATATCTATTTTACCGATAGTCAATCAATCAAAGGATCGTTCATATATCGAAAAATTATCTTTCATCATTTACCAAAAATTAATGTTTCGAGCAAATTTCCTGTACAATTTTTTTTACAAATTTTCCGTACAAATTTCCTAAACAAATTCGCAAATAATGAACACGTAGACGAGTTTTTTGCGAGTTATGAAAAATGCTTACCCAATATTCCATTTTGTCCATTTATACTTTGCATTAATTTTTGTGAACTAACTAAAGTATTTCCTTTGTAACTATCGTATTTTTATAATAACAATTGCAGTTGCATAAAAACTATCGTATTCCTCTAGTAACTATGTCATTTCTCCTAGTAACAATCATTTCTTCCCAATATCTATAATTTTCTCTTATAGCTATCCTATTCCTATTATAAATATTATAGTCAGTATGCTGTGAGTGAATCTCAGAGTAAGTTTCTCTCCACCATAGAATGTTCCTCAAAGCTCTGTGGCAGAGAGTGCCAAGGAACTGCAGTGACGACCTGTAGATAAATAGCCCGTCTTGCAGCCACGTGGTGCTTTCTGATTGACTGTCGCCTGGCCAAACAAATGAAGCTTTTCCAGCCACGTCTTGAACGCGGAAATTCAGTGCTAGATCTAATCTTCAATGAGAAAATGAATGGCGCCTGCCGGTTTAATGCATTCTTAATGCCATGACAATCCATTTGAGCCGATATACTGAGAACCTTGCACAGTGTTTGCTGACTTATACTGATACTGATAAATTTGAGATTTTTCGGCGTTGGAAAGCAGTTTCTACAATATACTGTAGAGTGTGTCACAAAAATTATTCCGTATAAACTATCTACTCCATCCTACATCGAATATATTAATTATGTCATTAACTAAACATTGAGGTGATGGCATCACAGACGCATATTAGCCAATATATTTTTCAATGAAACCAATAATAAGTCAACTAACTTTGTCAGAAAAAATGATTAGAGTGAAAAGATAGAAACGCTTTTGACTTACTAATGACATCAGTCCAAGTTCTTAGTGCAAATCATGTTAATTGTGAATTCTATTTTCCAATAACTTTGCCGGCACTTCTCAGTTAGGACATTGATATGATATTATGAATAAAGTTCCAACGTTGTAAATTAAAAAAAATACTTATAATTTAAATATAATGATTACTAAAGCTTATTACGATAATTCGAACGATATATTCCCACACACATTTTTTGCATAAGGGGGCCATGCGTTCAGGAAAATTAGCCTAGCAGTGTCGGGGCTCGTATGAAAGGAAGGCCGTCGCACGCCAGGTGCTCACTAAAGTCACGTTCTTGTGTTCGATTACCCGTCATCCTAGGACACTTTTTGCGCGCCATGCAAGAGGCGCGGGACTTTTTTGCGGGTATTTTGCATGTGGCCTCAGCCTTATAGGATATACCAGTGGGCTACACGTCGCGGCCTCAGCCCTATAGCTTATACCAGCGGGCTACACGCCGCGGCCTCTGCCTTATAGGTTATACCAGCGGGCTACACGTCGCGGCCTCTGCCTTATAGGTTATACCAGCGGGCTACACGCCGCGGCCTCTGCCTTATAGGATATACCAGTGGGCTACACGCCGCGGCCTCTGCCTTATAGGTTATACCAGCGGGCTACACGCCGCGGCCTCAGCCTTATATGATATACCAGCGGGCTAAACGTCCCGGCCTCAGCCTTATAGGATATACCAGCGGGTTACACGCCGCGGCCTCTGCCTTATAGGTTATACCAGCGGGCTAAACGTCGCGGCCTCAGCCTTATGGGATATACCAGCGGGCTACACGTCGGTCGTGGTCCTACATACAGCGGCCTGTTTCTTTTGAAAACAATTTATACATTTTTTTCGCAAATAAATCTAATTTTTAAGTGCGTATTTATATGAGGCTATTCGCATTCGGTTATACCGTATTCGTTAGAAATTAATCGTAAGCAACAAGGTTGAGTGTAATCTCCATGCATCGATGCAGTTATATTATAAATATTATGGATGTGCAATCATGACGCGATCATTGCTGAGATAGAAATTTGTGAGTCAGTATGGGCGTTTTTTGTGAGAAACCAGTCAAGCATTTGGCCTTTGGTCCTTCATTTTATTGGAGAACTAATATTCACTAATCGAAAAATACATTGCAATGTTATCCAATTCTATAAACTGAAAAGTATTCAGCCAAATACGGGAACTAGGCAGCCATTTAACGGTTAAAAACCAGCAGCCATGTATATAGAATTATAGAGCAAAGCCATACGGAGAATTTGGAGTAAGCAATATATCGCTGTCACCGCATGGCGTGCAAAAGAGAGCGTCATGTGATTTAATGCTAGGTTCACAGGTGTGGTGTCGGTGTTGTGTGGTGTGGTGTGGTGTGGTGTGGTATGGTGTAAGAAATAGCTTGTTTAGGTCCCATCTTCTACAATTAGTCACAGTACTTGACAGTTTCCGCTCACTAGATCCTCTGGAATTCCGGAACGGATACGCGACGAACGAACCATTTTTGTCGCGATGGCCGCTGCCATTTTTGCGGGCAAATATTGCTTTACAGAAATCATTATTTGTAGGAAGAATGAAAATTAATAAATTTAGGAATAATCGTCGGTATAAAATGCACAAAATGTTTAAAAACTCATGAATTATTTTGAATCATAAACTCATTTACACAGAAAAACTATTATTGTCAAATGTTATGCGTAAAACATAAATTTTCTGACGAAAGATGCCTGCGTAGCAAAACTTATGTTCCTACCTTGCATGAAATATTAAATTTAAAGTTAATTTGCGAAACATAATTTTTAATAATTTTACTAACCCGCCATCAGGGCCTTGACGCCATTGCTGCTCCATGCCAAAACTGAAATAAATAAAAAATATTGCATTAATTTCACGAAATCAACACATTGCCTTTTAAAAACTCACCGGATTCTAGGTCAACTGGAAATTTAAATTTGTGAGAGGTCTTTTCCAGTTTCGACTGATTTATAAATTATAAGTAAGCATTCTCAAACTTAATCAATATTATTAAGTTCATTATTATAAACTTTATGAATTCGTCAGTAATTTTTAAAAGTAGAAAGAACGTGTTAAGATATGCAGCATGACTTTCATTACCATGCACGCGAAGTGCCAGTTCTACCAACTCATTAATTCAAAGTCTGGCAAATGCAATTTAACGTCTATATTTCAACACCAAATTAGTGCGAGAACAACGCGTATTTAATTTAATCCAATAGACATCGTTCAACTCATTGCAGTCTTTGCAAAGTTGCGTCAATTTTATCGCATAGGTTTGCATTGCCGGTGCAAACTTCCACATCTTATATACTCAATGCTAGATGTTATAGGAAGGGGTTATATAGAAGGACGTTATATTCGAAGTCGTTATATTGGAAGATGATATAGGAAGAAGCCCCTTTGAAGATGATAAGAAACCTCTTTATAAACTGTTTTTGGGTACTGAAGTTTTATATTTCTTAGTTGGTCATCCCGATATAATTCTTATTTCAATTGTTAATCATTATTTCTGAACTCGATTATTAGGTCTAATTTTTTTCATTCATTTCTCTCATCTCGATTTTTGAGCTTAATTTCTAGTAGTGTTTTTTTCTCACTGTCAACTCGGGAAAAATTCTTTATGATTTATTTTAATTCATTTCTCTCATCTCGATTTTTGAGCTTAATTTCTAGTATTGTTTTTTTCTCACTGTCAACCCGGGAAAAGTTCTCATGATTTCCTAATTTGCGGTCACGCAAAATCTCAGCAAATTAGGTTACGATGACGACGAGTCGAGGCAGTCACGGCGCCAGCACTTGGGGCGATCACAGCTCTCCACATTGCAATTAATTGCGTGGGAAATACTGAATAAAACTGGACCGCCTCCGATCTCTGCTGAGTCATGGTCTTACCTGAAATATATATTTGTTCTCACAATGTTCATTACAAAGCACACACTTCTAGATTTATCAAATATTTTATCTAAAACATAATTCTAGCTTTATCAAACATAATTAAGATTACTCATAAGATATTGGATTTGGATATTGGATTGTGAATTGATTTTATACATGATTTGAAACGAATAATTACCGACGCGTATATAAAACTGTCGCAGGTGTGACCTCCGACAGCTACATGTTCTTCACAATATTACATACCTGACCGAAATTCAATCTGTCGTTCACGTGTTTAATCAGCAAATTTGAATGATAATTTAAACTAAAAAGACTTTGATAAAATACCTTGATTTTGGTAATATTTAGTACTTTAATTGTGCTAGAATAAACTGTTAACGAAACTGTTAACGAAATGCCAAGTTCCTGATAAAGATATATAATGAATTTCTCATTTATTTTTTAATATTAAAAAAATTAGTTTTCCAATTTCTTCTAATTTATAATTTTATTTGCTCTAATAAATTGCAATTATTTCCCATTGGTCAGCCTATAAATATTATACTCTGAAAATCGGCTATACCTCTGTAGTAATTAATCGCTGAATGAAAACTAAATCCTTCTTATAGCGGCAACAGATCACCATTTCAGCACAATACTATACATTTAATACATTTATACATTTAATACGTATTTATATAATATCGATATACGTCGATAGAATGGCCCCGACGTTAATACGCAAATTATAATAAAATTTAATATACGTAGATATGTGTGTCGATTATACGATTATATTTATGGGTTCGATATTAATACGCACTGTATAATAATATAGCGCATATATATACGCATATAATATCGATATACGTGGATATCATGGCTCGGACGTACCCGAAGTTATGCTGGCGCTGCAGGGAGTACGCAGCGACGTGCGCAGCGTGCACGTGTCCATGAGAGTACGCAGCGGCGTGTTGGTACATGTTAGGGCACGTCTCGTGCCCGTGCAGCGATGTGAACGGTCCTGACGTGCCAGACAGCGGGTACGTGCTTGGTACGTAGCCCAGCACGGCGGCGGACTGGAAGCCCGACAGCGGCGGCAGCTGCTCCCGACACCCCGCCGCCGCCGCCGCCGCCGTGGCGGAATACCAGTCAGACATGGCGGGATGGTGACGTCTGATGCTCAGCTAATCTTTCGTTCACAATTAAAGTTTCGTAAACTGGCAAGTGCAGATGACGTCACGAGGGTAAGTTCACTAATTGCATATCAAGTCGTAGCAGCTGAATTCATTCTCCAAGACCACCATATCAAGAATCCTTTCACTATTTACACATTAGTATAGTCTGTTATCGTCGTTGGTTATCGCCGAGGAATGATTTTAAACCGTCAGCCCAAATCTTGTCCAGCAAGTTTCACCACAACGTCAGACCCATGCTAGTAATGAGTCGTAGATTTTTTATCGGAACATTCAGGTGGCCGACCATCGGCCATCGATGATTGGTCGATTATTTTCTGCGGCTGCGACACAAATTCAACACAATATTCAGAGGAGTCCCTCAACACAGAGTGTTATTTCTTCCCTGTTGATTAATTTGAATGGCACAAACAGAAATAATAAGCTGTTTCTATAGTTCTCCCTAAGAAGTTTAATCACCTTCAAGCGGAAATATTTGGGCTTTATTAAAACAAAGTTAAAAAATATTATTGACGGCACTGAAGCCAAAATTGTTTAATCAGAGGAAATATCAAGTAAATTTTATTCATCACATCTGGTATGAAGCAAGCATCACCTAAAAAAAATTTTCATCTTGCCCAAATAGATGACATTTTCTGAACGTAGCAACGATACACCTTTCTTCTGGGTTAGAACAATAGTAAAAAAAATTGTCATCTTGCCCATATAGATGACACTTTCTGCCCGTATATAGCAACGATACGCCTTTATTCCGGATTAGAACAATAGCAACAAGTGCGATCGCTATGTGAACTAAGTCACTTCATTTTTCTCAGTTACGTGGTATGTTGTATTATTGCGGAAATATTCGAAATTCGTTCCTTTACGAAAGGTTCATGTGCAGTGATGTGCTATTACTTTGATCGAGCACTATTGTCGGTTTAACAAATGGATATTATTTTTACTGATTTTTGTGTAAGACGATCTTCAACAACGTAAAATTATTTTCAAAAATATTAACGATTTCCTTATACAGCGGCTTTCAGCAGCAGTCCGCAGATAGCGAGTTTTGCGTACATGAAGCAAGCGAAGTCCGTGCGTCTCATCGAATTGAGAAATAAAACTGGAACGTGACACTTATAAAACGTGACCTGCATACGTGATACTCAAGCACGCGTGATCCACACACGTGCTACTATACGTGATACATGAATGAGCCCAATTGCGAGTATCTCTGGTCACCGAAACCGGTTGACGGATCGTTAGCAGGCTTCCGAGAATGAAACTAAGATTTTTAAACTGAGAATATTCACAATAATCTCGTTTTTTATAAAAAATACATTTTATGAGAATTTTAGGTATATAATGAATTTGAAAGTGCATTGACTAGGACTGAAGTATTTTGATTAAAATGATTACTGAAATAAGATATAATCACATTTTTCCGCTGACCGCTATGCTTTTCATGTTCATACGCAGAATTGTCAGATATCTTGCTATAAAAACAGAAATCAAATAATAATGACCAGCTATTTGTTAGCCACTGCCATGCAGACAACCTGATAAAGATACCGTTCTTGCATGGTGACTCAGCCCATACAAGCTACACAGAACACAGACAGAAGACCGTCATTGTGTGGCGGTGTGAATGAATACAAACAACGTGTGAATGAATCACAGTAGAGCGGCCACGTGCTACAAGATTAGCGCCCGAGACTGTCCATTCAGACGCGGCATCTGTGTAGCTTTTTATACAGGTTCTGCTTCACACATACAATACACACAAGTGCCTTGACTATACACAAATGCAACGACTCCACTCAATTGTTTCGAACTAATTTTATTTAATGAGGTTCAAAACATTAATTGAAGCAATCGAGTGCATGACTAAAGGAAACAGACCTCATATTTTAATCCTATTTTATTATAAGGCCTCGAAATGCTTGTAAAAAATATTGTCCTGTTGTCCATCACACACCAGCTGTTCATTAAAGGGATTTTGACGACCATTGATATCTGTAAACCTCCAGCTAGGACTGTCACACAAATTTACAAAATCGTGTCTATCCGCGATTCGTGTTCGTAATATAATTACGAAAGTTCTTAGCAGACAATTGACCGCTGAGGAGAAAGCCGTTACCACACATGTCACTTAATTGCCGTCACTATAACACGTTACTGTCACTCCACAGTCACGTATATAACAGCCATCAATTAACTAACTAATTAAACTGTCACGCAAACCAGCAACGTGGCAATCAAAACTATCGCTCCGAACAGAAGACTTGAAAATTTGATTCTTTGGGGCACACTTTTGACGCTCACTTAAAAAAAAGGCACGCGTGTGTGTCCCGTAGAAATAGAGTGGCGGTGCCCGTGTATGTGGACGTGACCGCGGCACATCACGTTCCTGGTCTCAACGTGAGCAGACTAGCAACTGGAACCCTGGCAGGGTTAGGATCCGTGGAGGGAGGTGCGACCCAGCGCATGGGGGGGCGAAGGAATGCGGGGGAAGAGGGGAGGCTTGCGCACATGGGGGGCGCGGACCCATTTTTGCTCCGCAGTTGCCGGTCGCGGGAGTGTATTTTATAGAGAAATTTCTTTATGCCTTCACATGTAAACCATTTCAGAACTTCAGAATTTGGATGTACATTTCAGAATTTGGCAGAATTTCATGAATTTCAGAAGTTGGATGTACATTACATTAGTTTTGTTGTAAAATTCCTTCATGCTCTGTTTCAAAATTGATGAAGCGCTTAGATAATGGCGTAAATGTCGGTCAATGTATTGAGAATAAAAAATGCATCTGTTTCCTATACAAGTTTTTTTATCGCAACAAAATTGTAGACCGACAAATTTCACGGCAATAGTATGATTTCTCGACGGTGAAACGTTTTAATAACTATATGATGACTCATTAAAATATCTGCTTCAAAATCTAGTTTTTCTATAACAATTAAATTGAAAACCAGTGTAAGGTACAGCGATTCTTTCATTTGTATAATATTTATACGAGACCTCAATATATAATAATAATGTCATTATTATATATATAAATATATAATATATATACGAGACGAATATATACGAGACCTCAAAATTGTACGAGCGGACAAGGTTGCATGAGCTGCAGTGACAATTGCATGTTGAACTGGCAATTGTAAATACTGTGACAGATGTAATATTTACTGGCAAATTGCACCTGCAGCGAATGATGCAAACTGCAGCTACTAACTTGAGTGACATGCATAAGTGACAACTGTAGTGCCATGGTGACATATGTCACTTGCAGTGACATATCAATTACAGCAAGTAATATGTCAACTGAAGAGACATATGCAAACTGCTGTGATCGACAAATTACAACTGCAATGACAAAAGCCAACTACAGTGATTATATCAATGGCAGTGACATATGTCAATAACAGTGCCATGAGCCAACTGCAGTGACATGTAGACGCTACAGTGACATAACAACTGCAGTGACATGTGCCAACTGCAGTGACATGTAGACGCTACAGTGACATAACAACTGCAGTGACATGTGCCAACTGCAGTGACATGTAGACGCTACAGTGACATAACAACTGCAGTGACATGTGCCAACTGCAGTGAC